TCCTAATTTTCAACTGTTCAGATTATAAAAGATCAAAATCAAAATCTAGAGATATAATGAAAGATAATGTTTTTGTTTTTGAAAACTTAGGACCTCTTTCACTGAAATAAAATTTAAAAGAAATTTATTCAAAATGTGTGTCTTTCTGTTAACCAGGTGTCACCCCTACAGTCTTCAGAAATCGAAACTTGTAAGAGCTCAAGGCGAATTTTATATTTTATTTATACTCTAGTAGAATGTCACTCACTTCATTCCATTATAGCGTTGACACGTCGACTTTGTTGATATTGTTCTATATCAGCTTGATTGGAATTGAAACCTCGAAAAGTGATGTTGACACATCATTCAGTAGGTCAATTAGTGGGCTGGGTCTATTTAGTAAGTCTTTGAATGTAGCAACTTACAAAGATTCATTAAGAAGGCCTCTTTCAATAATTAGCCCACTGAAAACAATTAACTCAAATGGGCGGAATCTAAGTTCAACCGTGTCCTTTACGAGAAATCCTCAATTTATTACTGTTTTGTGAACTCAAATAACGCAAATTTTATTTCAATGCAACTCACCTGAAACTGAAATATCTACGAAAACCTTTAGACAGATGAATTATGATTATTCCATTATGATTGTGTCGACTTGCATAAAGGAAGATAAGATAACAAAAAGTTATTGATTTGTTTGGAAGCTGATAACAACTTACGTAGGGTACTATCTAGAAAACAAATTTATCAACAAAGTTTTTTTGATGATAAAATTGCAAATAGATGATTTTTTATTCGAAGCGTTTTGAGAGATACTGAGTTGACGTTACATTACCCGAATGATTAATTTCTTATCTGTTTGAAAATCTGTTTTAAAACAGATTTTTAATTTCTTATGTTGGTACAGATACGATGACATCTTAATTCTGATCAACTGGTAAAGATAGGTAATTGCGTACAATAGGTTTATGGAATTCATCAATTCCATTCACCCGTCGATTGAATTCAACTCTGACATGAGGTAAATAACTCAACCGTCACAAAAATCAGTAAAGAACATGATACTTCAATTAGGTGTTTTCAAAAAATTGTCCGTTTTATTATCATGTGTTTTTATAGCTCCATATATCAATGAATATTTATTCTACGGGGTCGTGGAATATACTGATCGATAGAAAATTCTGTACTCTGAAAACTGACGTTCTTCATTTTTTCCCAATTTTAATTTTTTTCTTCTTCTCTGCGCTTATTAGTATATGATGTCGTTAAGCGACTATATATATANACCAGTTGTAGTGAATAATCGAACCAAGTACATGGCACCCGTAACCATGATCATACAGGAACATGCCGAAGAGGTAGATTGCTATGGGTTGATGCCACCCTTGTATTTTATAGATGACCGATGGATTGGGTTGACCCCTCACCCCATTGAAAAACACGCTTCAGAAGAACTCTCCCCAGAAGTAGAAACAAAATTCAACTTCTGTCCGATACAACCTGTCGGAGCGCTAGGAATTTATATTCAGGAAGAAATTAAGAACGCCCAACGGATAATTGTTTTCGGAAATGAACGAAAAGCTGTAGAGAATATTTTAGTAAGACGAGTAGCAGGCCTGGAAACTACCGGACAAGGATTCTCCACGGTAAACATCTTTGACAGGGAAGAAATGGAAAAACTAGCCCACAACACGATGCGTCAGGTTTGGGGATGGTTCACCGACATAGGGCTCTTCATGATTGGCCTTATGGGATTTTACGCTATTTTTAGAATAATAAAGTATGCGCTGGGAATTGTATTGACTGGAATTCACCTTCACCAAACAGTAGGATGCGGAGTAATGATACTCGCCAGCTTGTGGAACACCCTAACCATGTGGGTATCCCACAGATACCACAAAGTAGTAGCGCAGGAAAAAACCGGACCAAAAAGGGACGAAGAAGCTTACTTATAGGAATCAACCATACCACCAAGAATATATCATCGATTGGTCGGTCCAATGTAGTGGGATTACATTGCACCGACGAATCCAACCAAACAACCCCGGGATAGGAACAGGTTTCGCGAAACGATGTGTCATAAAACCAAGTAGGACATAGCGCCGCAGTCCGAACCCAACTTCAGTGCGAGCCCACTCATAAACATTCAAACTATATCCTCATGAACTGTGTAGCAGAAGAATCTTTCGCGAGTATAAGGCGAGACGACGATTGGTGATCGTGGAACCAATAATCACAATATAATTGGAGTCAAGTACGGGCCAAACCGTACCAAGCAGCGAAGATAGCAAGTCCTGGGACATCCTAGGCTAGTGAGAAGGGTTACTTCCCTCATCACACCATCCCGCATCAGGTTACGGCAGGCAAGGGAGCCTCGCTGACTGTAGAAGTGAATTACGCACAAACGCGAGTGTTCGCGAGTGCAGTGCGCGGATCAGACGCAAAACTTTTGTTCGCCGAAAAGTGACGGAAATTTTTGTTAGCATTAGGATGCATTACGAATTTTCATTTTGGTTATCATGTTGTAGCTTTAGTTGATTGAAAAGTTATCAACTTTTACGAAGGGGGGAGTAGTGTAATAACTGCCATTGCGATAATTAACAAAAAATATAATTTCATTCATAAAGATCGAAGTCGGCACCGCCTTCGATCTTTATGCGAAATTTAAGAAAAATCCATGTAGTTAAATTATAAAACGGTAATGGATACAGGGGAGTTTGAAATAAAAGTGTTGGTGGGTCAACGGAACCTATGGTTGACCATGAACACTCAAAGAGGCGTAATGTGAGTGATTGTTATTTTTTGTACTAACCAGTTGATGTTTAGAGAGAGTTCACATAATATTTTATCTGAGTCCACTTCCTATTTGCAGAAAGTTACCTATTGTGGGGTTCCTAGTGCTGATTGTTTAGCTAAAGTTGATAATACAATTACAGAAAAGGGCGAAAATTTGAAGTTATACACCACTCTCCCTGAAGTAAAAGTAAAACTAAGAGTATTTTGTACCGAATTGGCGCATTTCTAATTATTAAACAGGTTAGATTAATAGTAAATAGCATGGTAAAATTGGCGGCATTTCCTTTGTTCTATTTCCTTCATTTTACAGAATTCAACATTTTCCTTTTATGTAATATTTCATACGTTGTTTTTATTTTGTCCATGGAGTCATTTTTCTACTTATTATACTTCATATTTGAAACCTTTGGACTTTCATTTTCTCTTGGACTGAAAAAAATACCATTCCAGTAGAGTAAGATGAAGTTAAGAAAACAAAAACAAATGAGAGACCTTTTGCCAATCTATCAAGAAGAGAATAGTGAGTGAAAAGCATTTCAACTAAGATTAAAATTAGTTCTGGAACCACATAATGTGAGAGAAGATAAGAAAGTATTCCAAATGATCAGATGTCAAAAAGACCGGCCTTCGTGCGATCGGCACGAACCCTACAGCTTTTTCGGACCTGCGTTAATATTAAAAATTTGATGCGGAGAAATCTGCTTCTGGTGACAGCGTTGCTAAAATTCATTCCAAAAAAATAAATAAATGAGAAAGGAGCTAGAAAGCTCCTTTCATTACAACGGCCAACAAACACGGAAAATAGTTTTCACACAATCCAATTTTTATTTAGTATCGTTCACATTTCATGAGAAATAAAGTTATGGCTCCAGCCATAACTCGCTTGTCTTATCTTCGAATCACGTATTCTTTCAAATATTTCGGAATTATTTTTTTGATTTGACATCCAGAAGTTATTCCTTTCAGTGAAGAAACATGAAAAAGGGGGATTTATGTCGTATAAGATGATGTTTTATTCAAGACTGTAATTCCATAATTTGTTCTTTTGTTTTTCAAATTCATGAATATACATGGCTCTTCAAATTAAAATCTTTGCATTGAATTCTCTCTCTCTCTAAATTTTATGGCCGTTGCTTCTCATTCGAGTGCATTTGGCCAGACTCCTTCTGTCTATAGTCAACAGAAGCTTCGTCCGGGGGCGCAGCTGTTTTGCTCGAGGCTGCTGCCACCTTGAGTTTTTCCATTAACTTAAAAAACACTTCAATTTTTCACTGGTTGTTTCCTTCCCGGGAGGCCTTCGGATAAAAATTACACATTATCGAACTGTCGACCTTGTCGAATCCGTCGACATTCAGCTTGGTTACTGGCGTAGGGGGTCGCCAATCCCCTCAATACATCTTTCATTATTTATTGGAACTGAACTTTATTTTAAAATACACCTCACTTTGGACTCCACTCCGACCACAACATACACGTGGCATCTTTGAGGGCAGCAAAAAACATTGAAACACGTGTCAAGGTGTTGAAAGTAACGGTTTGGTGTTGGGATTGAACTCCAGTAATATTTATTACTTCACCGAAGGTTCCAATCACTGCATCACAAGTTTACTGGAATGTTTACTGGCAGACATCGATAACATCACATAGGTTTGAAATCGACGCCACGTGAAGTCGAGTGAATGTTTACAATATCCTGTAAAACGGATACAAAACTGAAATAATAATCTTTTGACCAAATGCGAAAATGTATACAGTATTTACCTAATGAAATATAAAATAGTGAACAAATAATATTGTAAAGATATTCAGGAGCACTTTTTATGGACAATTGAAGGGCCAAATTCATCGTATTCTTGTTTTCTGATCCACATCTGTTGGAACGTGGAAAGTTCAGCAAGAATTGATCCTCCTATCCACACCAGATACTTCCTTTCTGATTCCGTGAGGATTTTGATTCTCATTGCGCATGGAGCCAAAGTCATAATCTCTTTATGCATCCTATCTTTGATTCCAGGGAACATGGTATTGCCACCAGATAATATAATGTTGGAGTACAAATCCCTACGAACATCCACCTCACATTTCATGATCGAGTCGTAAGTGTTCTGGTGGATACCCTTCGCTGAGCTACCCATGAAGGATGGTTGGAACAGAGCTTCCGGGCAGCGGATTCTTTCACTATCAACTGTGATAATTTGACCATCAGGAAGTTTGTAACTCTTCTCGAAAGAGCTACCCCTAGTAGCCTGAACCATTTCTTGATCAAAATCCATAGCAACGTAACAGAGATTTTCTTTCATCTCTTGTACAATTTCTTTGTGATCAGTGAAGTTGAAATTGTAGCCACGATCAGACAGAATTTTCGTGAAGTACTTGGTCAGATCTTCACCCGCCGAATCTAAACGTAGGAGGGCATTGGGAATGGCGTAACCTTCATAAACTGGTACTATACGAGAAACACCATGTCCGGAATCCAACACAATACCGGTTAAACGACCAGAAGCATATAAAGATAATACACCTTCAATAGCTAGGAACATTGCTGGTGTATTAAAAGATTCAAACATGATCTGCGCCATCTTCTCTCTTGTAGATTTAGAGTTCTGTGGTACTTCTGTTAATAAAACAGGATGATTTTCTGGAGTAATTCGAAGTTCGCTGTAGAATATATGGTGCCATATATTCTCCATATCATCCCAATTCATAATTATACCATGCTCAATAGGATATTTTACGTTGATCTCCTTTCTTTTGCTTTGGGCTTCATTTCCTATAAACGAGATCTTTTGATCCATTTCTGGTATGAGTTCTTCTTGCCGTGAATAACCAATAATGGCAGGGATTATGGTACAGGGAACATCTTCACCAGCAAATCCAGCTTTAATGGTACCAGATCCATTGTCCACAACTAATGCTTTTACTTGATCACACATGTTGAGGCTGAAAAAAATTGTTATAATTGATATAAAGAGGTTGTGTTTGATACATGCAAGATAGTTAATGAATTATCGTGTTGATGGTTGAGATCAGATTTTTTCAGAAAAAATTTTTTCGTTCTTCTACTTGTCATTCATTGAATAAAAAGTGGGGGAAACTCTTGAATATCACGAAATAAAGAGTGTAATATTATCCAAAACGGTGCTAACGAGATGATAAGACAAATATCTTGTACCGAAACTTTGAAGTACATCGTAGATAATAGTAATCCATATGACATTTTATATCAATACTCTATCATATATGACATTGAATAGCGTTCCTGTAAATGATATATACAATTCTATAATGAATGTTGGTTGTAGTTCAAACTGAATGTGGAATTTCGTGTAATTCAATATTCATATGAAACTGAATGTTTTGAAATGATTTTTTTTTTGTGTATTTCAATGTCCATATGAAAGTAGTTGTTTTGAAAAAGTTTTTTCTTTCATTTGTATCTGAAAAAAAAACCTTTATGTATGCACTACATATATTCATAAGAGTTTTCATATTTCGGTCAATGATAGAGAAGTAGAAAGCCAAAAAGACTTTCCTCAAAAAATCATCGTTGGTATCACATCATTGAAATAGAAAACTGTCACGATCGAAACTAAAATAATATCATTTTATTGATATTACGGATACCAAAATAGAAGAAAAGACTAGCAACATTATGAATAAAATTATTGTTCAAGAGAAATTCACCTCCACATTAGATACAACAATAATTAATTTTTTGAACCAATATGGCTATGAGAAGCTTTCACTGCAAGTTAACACTAGTTAACACTGAAGTCATTACTAGTTTGTGAATGAAAGTTACTTCTTTGCATTGTATTACACATATATGTAATTTTTTGAAATTTATTGTTTTCTTCCTTTCTTCGGAAGATTTCCGCATTTCTTTGTATCAAGATGTAGTAGTTGAAATCCAGAAACTTTTTTCCCTATAATATATTGCTTTCGCTCTTTTCACTTCTCATGTAAATTAAATTAAAATGAGGAGTAGGTCAAACTCTTCTTCACACATTTCAATGACATCTTGTTGATGTAGTTCAGTTTGTATTCCATATCATACGATTATTTGACCAATTTGAAGTTTGATCTATTTATTATTCACTGGCGAGCCGCCCCGGCTCCGCACGGGTGCAATGCTGATACTAAATATGAATTCACCCACCTGAAACTTGAGGGCATGGAGAAACAGTGATGAAAAGATAATTTTGTCTCATGGACCTTTTTTTCCCACTCGGCTGGCGGGGGAAAATACCCCAGTTTGAATATTTAAAATTAGATATTTTTCTATCGGTCATTGTAACTTACACTTATAATATAAAATATACATGAGTAATAACTATAACGGCATTCGCTTTCTGCTTTCTATGTACGGAGCTCCTAAAAAATACCTGCTTAGATAAGTACAGATATGCATGTTTCGTTAAAAATACCAAAAGTAAAAAACAAGTAGAATTACCTTGTCTTCCTTCAACCACAGTTGCTATTCATCAACATATTTTTCGGATATATTACCAAGTTCAAGTGTGGCTTGGTATCAGCTAGGCCCTATAGACTGGGGTTAGAAGTTGGTCAACAATTCATTAGAACTAGTCTAAACGTTACTTCCACCTGCGCCGGAAAAACTGCTGAACACAAATATTTGCAACTTCAAAAAGGGGTGCAGGGCAAATGTGGTGCAAAAAAGCAGGACTGTTTTGTTCTCTGGTATGTAAACATTGTCAAGGCCGGTCGTTCTCTAATATTGAATCACCAACACTGGAGGATCCGTTTGATTCCAATGAGGCGACATGCGATACATCGCTATTAACGCAGTTTCCATGTACTCAAGATGCAGATGAAGGAGAACAAGAAGAACAAGAAGAAGAGGAACACGACGAACAAGAACAAGAAGATCAAGAAGAAGAACAAGAAGAAAGTTAGGACTCGGACGATTGAACATCGCTACTTAAATTGCTTTTATCTTTTCAATATCTGCTAATATCCATTATTTTGCAATAGTTTCACATTAAACAGGATCACAATTGACCTGTGGAATAGGCCTACTGGAAAAACCACTTTAAAAAACGCACCAAGTACACTAACTCATAGATGTTGTGGAAACGTGAGCATATTATGACGATTACAACTTTTACAACTATTTGAATTGTTATATCTCAAAAAGGGTGGCTCGTAGGAAAAAAGTTTCAATATATTTTTGTAGATAATTTAAATGTCTAAATTGACCGGACTATTATTGCACATCTACAATATAAAACGAATCTACATACAAAATTTCAGCCTTCGAAAGTATAACAGTACGGAGAAATAATAATGAATATGTAATTTTCATATGTAAACGCGTTCCTTTTTACTACCACGGGGGGCGCCCCAGTTGGAATATTTGACAATCCTTTCTTTGTGCGCAGCAAACATCTAAGATACAAGAAGCACCTATGTACCAAGCATTCTAGGACTCACCAGTACGAAGAAACATGCCGGTATATTTTCGGTGGCTGAAATTTTTTATGTAGGTTTGTTTTATATTATAGATGTGCAGTAAGAAAGGATTTTTAAATGCTGATTAACAGAAAAACAGATTTTTAAACAGATTCTAACTGTAGCAAAGGCGTGTCCATAAAACAAAATTATCTGTTCGTCACTGTTTCTCCATGTTTTCCAATTTCCGGTGGGTGAATTTATATTTAGTATCAGCATTGCACCCGTGCGGTGTCTACCAAAACTGTTTTCTGGAAAAATGGAGGGTACTTTAATGAATTTGGTGAAATGTAATTCAATAATTTTGGGGTCAAAAAATAATTTGTCAAGTGTCAAAATGAATACGCATGCATACTTGCGTTACTGTATATATTTATTAAATTGCATGCAATGGGATTGTGATTTTTTCAATGAAAATTTTATTTTTACTTAGTGTAAATTTAATTTGGCTGCATAGTGTCGCTATAAATAAATGTTGCTTGTATATTAAAAAAACATGATAATGAGCTGAAGAAAAGCAATTACCATCACCAATATTACACTAGAAACGCTACCAATTTTACAACAAAGACTCACAGAACATCCGCATATGAAAAATCGCCATTTTATGCTGGGGTAAAAAATA